CGGTTTCAGAAGAGGGTTCGCATTTGCTGAAATATAATCTCACAACCATCCACTATTGTCTGACGACAGTTTAGCTTTTGTAACAGCTTATTTAATTTGTCTGCATTTGTAAAAAATAAATCAAAAGCAAAAAAAAGACCAGCAGACAGAAAGAAGAGAAAGGCAGTTATCCAGATATCCTGTCCACACACTCAGAGAAGGGGAAGATGTGTAGTGTGCAACATGTGATGTCTACAAACGTGCCTATACGTTCCTGCTAGATGTTCTGTCATCTAGAATCTGTTTACAGCTCTTTAGACTTTTTTTCTTCTTCTTCTTCTTCTATCTTTAAATGTAAGTGTGTCACATACGCCTTGAAGTTCACTTTATTTGTCTACAAAAGCATTAACAAACAAGCCTTGTTTAATGCAGCTATTTGTTTGATATTCATTTCTTTCTGTCCAGTTCTCGGTTCTCCTTCGCGTCCTCAGTGCATCTTTTTGCGTTTCCGTCTCTCAGTGAAGTGATCGTATTTGATCAGAGGCAGAACAAGGGCGGCCAGTCTGCTGTCATCTTGCAGTTCAATGTTATCACCCTTGCCTCGGGCTGGTTTCACCAAGGTCAGTCTCATTGACTTTGCGACTTCAGTCATCCTATAGGAGAGCACAAGAATCACAATAGTTTACAGTTTAAACAAAAACTACAGAGTAAAGAAGGAGGATAGTAGTATCTGTGGTTAAGTCCACATTATTGACTTCATTAATGATTTTACTCTTTATTTAAATAATGTATGAAATGTAAGAAACGATTTTTAAAGGCTTCCTTTTTATTCCCCTGCTTACCTTGCCTCAGTGATTCCCAGGTCACGATGCAGTAATGTGAGGTCAGCTGTCATGTTACCCATATGCAGCAGCAGAGCTAAGCAGTATGCTGCTAGTTTGACCCGCATTGACGACGACACCATGTTCTGGATTCTAAACAGAAAAGTAAAGAAAGTGTGTCTTTTGAAAAGAATCAGTGCAGCAACAACTATACTTTTGTGGTCAGATGTTTACATAAACTCATGGCCATGAATGTCTGCCATAAATAATTTGGTGATTTAAAAAAAAAACAAAAAAACATTTGAACTGCTTTCCAGAGTGAAATGATAGTAAAGCACGCACCTTTAATAACTTATAGTTAAACAAAAATTAGGTGCACAAGTTTAAATTTATTTGGGATTTTTTGGCAGCCCTCAAGCTTCTGGCATAATTCTGGCTGAATATTTGACCACTCTTTTTGGTAGAAATGGTAAAGTTCACTTAAATTTGTTAGTTTCCTGGCATAGACCTAGCTTTAAAGCACACTGAACAGATTTAAACAGGGTTGAGTTGGGTTTTTGTTTTTTGAAAGGCAATTCCAGAGGCTTTATTCATCCTAAAACCAGTTTTAATGTGTGTATGGGGCTTCTTTGTTGGTTGCCACCCTCTCAGTCCATGGCAATGAAAAAGGTGCTTCACTGTGGACAGTAATGCTGGTGTTCCAGCAGTTTGCAGTTCATGGCAGGCTTCAGCCATGGTGGTTTCTGGGTTGTTCCTGACTCACCTTCTCTCATATGAGGGTGACATTTTTGGCAAAGTGATGACAAATCAGCTGTTTAAACTGATGATGTTGGAATCTGTAGTTCTTTCGAGGGTCTCCAAGAAACTACAGATCTCCTTAGATCTTCAATTAGTTTCTTGGGCTTTTGCATTATTCCATCCAGTTGGTGCTATCGAACAATCCCTTCTTATGCTGCAAAGAGAAACTAAAAGATGTAGTCAATCACGATCACTATCGAGAAGCTAATAGGCCATAACTTTGTTAAAATACATTGTAGAACCTTTAACAACACTTACTAAATTATTTAAGTGAGTATCTATACATTTGACCCTGTGTGGATTAGAGAAAATCCTAAATAAATTGAAACTTGTGCACCTAATTCTTGGTTTTTAAAATCATTAAAGGTGTATGCTGTACAATCATTCCACGCTGAGAAAAGAACAGTTCAAAGAAGTCATTAAAAGCCCAAAATTACCATGACATTCATGCTCATGATTCATGTATATAAACTTCTTACAACTGTATATATTATTTAGCTTCCCTGTCTCGGTTTAGCATTTGGTGAATTTTTTAATTACTAATGAAATTATTAATTTAGTGAAACAAAATCAAATTCCAGATACATTTTTCTTCATTAGCTACATGTGTTTAACCACCATACCTGCCATTGTTGAAGGTCTCCACGGTGAACGTTTTAAACAGTTTGCCCTGGATGACGCGAGGGCAGCCTTCCTCTTGCCCAACTGTACATGCAAACATGAATTACTACAACCCTCTAATGGTGAAAGTTTGTATGCCACTTTCCACATCATAACACTAACAAAATTCACTCACACTTGCGGGTGACATTCCTCTCCCGAGCCAGTTTGAGGAGCAGAGAGAGGTAGAAAGCACAGCGTGCTGTTTTGTCTCGGCTTTCACTTTCAGTTGGCAGATTCTCTAGATGCTTCACAATACTCAGGCACCTTTAGGTTAAAGATAAAAACCACAAGATCAACCTCAAGTGCAAGAACACATTAATAAAATGTCTCTGAAGGTTTGGTTGCCTCTACCTTCCATCATCTTTCATCTTTTTCAGCTCTTCGGGGGTGAGTGCTGCCATTTTGGCACCACCCTGCTCCAAAGCACCAAACTCCACTGGGCTCAAGACTGCACATATTCGGTTAAGGGTCACCTGAACAAAGTCTGGTACGGCTCTAGATAAAAACCTGCAAACACATGCATACGCTAGTACCCCATCTTGTAATCTGGGATTCAAATGGATTCCTTGCCTTCCTATTTCCATAAACACATTCCTCCTCCAGCACAGGAATAAAAGATACGCTCATCAAATGGATAGACGTCCTCTCGTTTGTCTGCGTTTGCATTGCAGGGGGGAAGGTGCAGAGCCAGGTCTCCTTGCGACTCTGCGTCAGCCACTTCTTGCTGCAAAGCTGTGCAGAGAGGGAAGGTTAAGAAAAAAAACCTGGAGAGAGAAACATTCAACTTCCAGATTTCTCCTAGGAGAGGCATCCACTGTGCAGCTTACCTTCCAGACCCTTCTCGCCAATCACAGTGTTGGCAGCCTTTGCCACTGCTTGCTGAAGGGTTTCACTGCCCACCTGATTCAGCCTGCGAGAGCTCAGAGCTCTCTTCTGCTTGTTGGTACCAAAGGCCTCAATCAGTAAGTCAACCTGAAAGGGAAACATTAAAGGTAATAACAAGATATTCACATTACACATAATTAAGCACAGATGTCTTGTAATGGACAGACAGTAGCAGCAAATGCACCTTTTCTCTGTAGGTCTGAGTAGTGTCCTGGGGTTTTGCACTGTCTGTTGTCTCTCCTGGTGACAAAAGTCAGAAAAAGTGACTCTCGGAAGGCACACAAAGCATTCCTTCCACAGCTTCTGGTCTTTATGGGCAGTTAGAAATAGCAACAGATATGTTATAGGTCTCTTACCTGGTATAACTGGTTGCATGTTGAAGAGCTGAGCTTCATGCACCTCCATCGTCATGGTCTGCTTGTTCAACACGCCCACATAATATCTAAAAAGATGCCAAACATCCTCCTTATCAATCTCCTCCTCGGTGACCATAACATGCCAAAATGTGCAGCAAAGACCTACTTGCAAAGATTATTGCACTTCATTGACCCCACTCCAAAGTTCTGCCCCACATAGGACAGTCTGTCTGACTCTGCAACCTAAATAAAAGAAACCAGGAAGAACACAGAGTATAGCAACATAGCCCGGAGAGTGCAGACACACGATAGATACTCATCTTCCTCACCAGTATCCGCCTGGTCTTTTTCCTGGGGTTACTTTCCTCTGTGTTTTTAAACATGCTGAAATCCAGTTTGTCTTCATTTTGGACGCTGCCGTTGGAAAAGCGGACTGTGGGATTGAGACAGAAACACCGGGAATCAAAACCTCAAATGCGATCAAACCTCAATGACCGATGTGATTGTAGAGTGACACACGTGAGAGCCTCGGACACAACAACACAGTAGTGCCCACGTGTGCACCTAAATGCTTTAGAAATATAAACTCCACAAAGCCCAACCCAGAGTCATGTGTCATCATCATCATCCTCGTGAAAAATTCTACATAATAAACAAATGAGGACGACTCACCGATGACAGCTTTATCGGCTTCTTTCTCCTCTCCGCAGCACACAAACGAGCAGGAGGCGGCCATGACTGTTGTCATGATGAGTTTTCATGCAGGGCAAGAGTTTACTCCTCTGTACTTCCGTGTTCGCTTCGCCAAGCCGCTGCTCTAATTTCTCCAGTTTTGTTGTGGATACTTTACCTGGTGCCTTTCTTTATTTTGCCTGCACTGTTCCTTCTGCTATGTCTTTGTTCATTGGATTATCATTTATACGGACTTTAACAAAATGAAAATGCCAAAGCATTTACCATCTCGATGCTGTTTATAATCTTTGGCTAACTGGCTATGTGTGGGGGTGCAGCAGCGACGCCTTGTGGTGAAATTGTAAAGCTGCAGCTTTTCACCTCGGGTGAGGTCATGGACGCGAAAAAGAGGTACAGCGCCGCCCCGTGAGTCTGGTTGGAAAAACCGTCTGTCGGCCGGGGGAAATATTAGAAAACACAACACAGCATGACGCTACCACTCACCAATAGATAGGAGGCATTAATATTATTCTAACGGTTATTCTGGCGCCGTGGCTGTGTGTTCAGCCTGGCAGCCGTTGGAGATCAACGGACACCGCGTCACCGTGCATCGCGGCCAGCTTTACGTTCCCACGGCCAAAACCAAACAAGCCGCTTCGGGGTCAAACCGTCAGGAAGTCGACCGCAGGGGGACGCGGGAGGTAGCAGCGGAAATGTTAGCTATCCACAGCTCGGCTTGAGGGGACATTTTGTCCAGTCTCGGTGACCGCATGCCGCTGCTTTTACTTTAGCTAACGCGCTGTTTGCTGGGCTGAAGCCAGCTAACTTTAGCTAATCGGGGCCCTGTTCTCCCTCTCGATACCTGCATTTTCCGGATCTTTCAAGGTAACCTAAAGTACCGCTGGCTCTCTGCTCTGACTTACAGCACCAGCAGAGTGCTTCTTTTGTGCCATTTTACCCAGTCGCATCCCATGCTATTGTGTTCCATTGCAGTTGTGACGTTAACTGTGTGTAAAGACGACGGTGTTCAATAAAGTTAGACCTGTTCGTCAATATATGACTTTATAGCAAGAAGGCAAAGGCAGTGGAAAACGCAACATTTGGTGCACAGTAATCAGTAACCAAAATAAAATGACAGCACCACGGCATCCTGGCTGTTCGCTAGTAAATACAAAAACTGGTCCAACTTCACCCCCATCACCATTCAGACATCCTAGACTGCATCCACAGGTACTCAAAAATGCACAGTTTCATCACTCAAGTAGAAGTACACATACTTGTTTCAAAAAATACTGAAGTGCTGGATCCAGACTCTGAAATGCAGTGAAAATGAGCTATTTGGAGGACATTTCTATCAGCTGTTTTGTGCAAAGCTAACTTAACTTCATTAATAATATAAAAATCAAATAATATTATGGGAGTACAAACATTATGTCAGCCCAAATTCAGATGCAAACTCGCTCTATGTGCTGATGTAGCTACACCTAAGCAGAAAAATGAGCATAATCGTGGGTTCAAGTTTGATTCGAGTAGGTGTGAGATCTCTAGTTTTGTAGTGCAGCATCACTTGGAAGTAATTTTTATTGTAAGCACAATGAAATTTTCTTTGTTTTCGGGCTGTGATCAGCTGACCTGAGTTTCTGCTCTTGTTGGCTGTCAGGGCAGATTTGTGACACCCCTACACACTATAAAGGTAGAATTCAGTGAATTAATCTCCTTTCCATAACTTTAAATTTACGTGTTTCCTTGTTACAGTGACCATAAACGCCACATCTGTTCTGCACTGTAAACATCCCCACAGTACCACAGATTAACCGGATTATCCTGCCATACACTGCCTTTTCATGCAACCTTGGAATAGCAAAAGTTAGTATACACTTCACATAAGCAACACATCAGGTATAGATCTGGTATCAGTTCAAAAGTGTCTAAAATGAATGAGGATGTTATGTTTCATCTTTAACTTCCCAGTCTGTTAAATGTCACGGAGCAATCCTTACCTTTTAAAATCTAACCTCTCTCCATCCTCTCCTGTCTTACTTTGATAAATAAGCGTTTTTTAACATTTTGAAGTGTGATGAGTGTTGTAGTAACACATGTTGTGATTTATCACTTTGTCCCCAATTGTTTTATCCATTAGGATAACTTGATCTTATTTAATTTTTGTTTTTTTTCTCATGCATAATGGATTGTCAAAAAAGCAAGCTGCAATCAGTGTGCTACTCAATAATGTCAAGTTGGCAACTTCATACAGTCTGTTTCTTGTAATACAGCAATTAACTTAGAACTATTGGTTTGGGCATTATGATGATAAGGGTAAGAGTACGTAGGGGCAGTAAACTGAATTTCCCAATTTGTTGAAGAACACTGAAGCTTGAAAAGCTCCAGGTCGCTGCTGATAGGTCAGATGCAGTGACATCAGTAGATCACCTGATCTTTGCTAACTGACTGTAGTTCTGCATAACTAACCTACCCTCTGCTCCTCTGTCTGCAGGGCCATGGATTTCCCAGGCCATTTTGAGCAGATCTTCCAGCAGCTGAACTATCAGCGTGTCCATGGTCAGCTTTGCGACTGTGTCATCGTGGTAGGCAGCCGACACTTTAAAGCCCACCGCTCCGTGCTGGCGGCCTGCAGCACCCACTTCAGAGCGCTGTTCACTGTCGCAGAGGGAGATGCTAGCATGAACATGATCCAGCTGGACAGCGAGGTTAGAAAGAAAATGCTGTCAAAAAAGTGTTTTTAGTCATTCTAATGGTGATTGAAACCACTGTGTGCGTTCTGCAGGTGGTGACGGCCGAGGCCTTCGCTGCTCTCGTGGACATGATGTACACGTCAACACTGATGCTCGGCGAGAGTAATGTCATGGATGTTCTCCTCGCAGCTTCGCATCTGCACCTCAACAATGTGGTCAAGGCTTGCAAACACTACCTGACGACGCGCACGCTGCCCATGTCCCCCTCATCCGACAGAGCTGCCCATCACCACCCACAGCAGGAGCAGCAGAGGCACAGACAGCAGCAGCATCAGCAAGTAGCTGATTTAGCAGTGAACCCGATGTTAGCAGCTAATGCTAACCTTGCAGCAAATGCTGCCACTTCAAAGCTGCAGCGCTCCTTCTTACTGCAGCAGCTGGGGCTCAGCTTGGTGAGCTCTGCTTTGGGTGGGATGGAAGACGACCGGGCAGGAAATGTAGTTGGCAGTAGGGTGGTTGACCAGAGGGCCTCCTTCCCAATCCGACGCTTCCACAAACGGAAGCCCTCTCTGGCGCTGGGGATTTCAGAGGAGAGACCCAGACAGAGACAGCGTCCTTTGGCGCCTAACCTCGGGTTGTTAGGAGAAGAAGGGGTGAACGCAGAGCGGGAGGAGGGAGCACTTCTCTCCCCAGATTCCCACAAGATGGGGGACAAATCTAAACTTGACCCTCCAATCACTGGGTTAGCAGCTGCGTCCCAAGATGACCCTCAGATGCCGAGTCAGTCAGATAGTGGACGCTGCGAGGAGGAGAACTTGGGGAGAATTCAAGGAGTAAACAAAGAAGAGGACATGGATGACCAGGATCAGCAGGACAGCAGAGCAGGGGTGAAAATAAAATCAGGAACAGAGGAGGAGGAGAACGAAGAAGAGGAGCAAAAGGTAAAGCTACAGGTTTGTCTCTTCAGTGGGCAGTAATATTTTCATAGTTAAAACTCTCCAGACCTCTCAGGCTTGTCTGTATGAAGTAAACAAACTTAACAGAAATTGTTGGTTTGATTGTCATTAATGCAACCAGGGGTTAAGGGATTGGACAGAAGAGGGAAGTCATAAGATCGGGTGTAGCAGTGCAGCTGGGGAAAATGACTCACTTAGAAATAAGTCACACATAATTTCTGTTCTGAGGATTTGATTTCCTTGCGGACGGACTGTGATAGCTGACCTGTGCTGACTCTGAGGTCCACTGCTCTTTGTGGGTTTTGCTTGCTGCAATTTACGAGATATTAGCAGATGTTACATGAGCTGTCGTGGCCACTCTCCAACCTTTGGGCGGTGTAATGTCTAAAGGTGGAGATTGGCAGGTGAAGGGTAGTAAAGAATGTCATCAACTTACATTCAAACTAATAACTGTTACCCTGAAGCCTTGATTACATTTTTCTCATCGACTTTGGTCAAATTTATGTCTCTTGGATCTGTGTTTTTGTGGCCTCGTTAACTAATGTGCAGATAATTGACATTACAGTCCATGAACTAAACACACACACACACACACACACACACACACCCCAGGCAGAAGAGTTCAAGCAGACTTCAAAGGGGTATAACAGGTGGGACAACTCGGCCATCGAGTTTCAGCTGTCATAACCAGTCCTAACAGTGATCGTGAACACCCATCCTGCACTTCATTACTGTAAACTGTACCACAGTACTGCAGAGTACCTACTTTAGCCTGAAAAGACTGTCCAGTATAGTATAGACCCCCCCACCCCCCCCACTCTGCAGCAGCAGCAGTAATGGCAAGGAAGCCATTTTTTGCAAAAGTTAACATGTTAATTTTCCACTAAATGTTTCCATTTATAGGCTAGAGTTAGAAAAAAATATTTATGATTAACTTTAGAGGTTTTATTTGTTTTACAACTCCTATACAGGGAGTGCAGAATTATTAGGCAAATGAGTATTTTGTCCACATCATCCTCTTCATGCATGTTGTCTTACTCCAAGCTGTATAGGCTCG